TCTCACTGCAGAACTGCCTATCCACTGGACTAAGGCAGCTGCCAAATTCAGATGCCTTTTACAGCCCTTCAATTGCGGGACTTCGTTGACTCTCCCGACAGCAGCATACACCTTTCTTCTCATGCGCCAATGTTGCATAATCAGTGGTAGGAATCATGATAATCTTTTTGCTACCATCCATACAGCACTCCATGACTAACCCTAAAGACGAATGGGGGCACAATACTGTCGCAGAAGAGGCATATTTTGCATACGGTAGGGCACGCCCCGAACGCCAGCCCACCCGGTGAGGGCACAGTGGTAAGGCGCCTAAGTGACCCCCATAGCATGAGTTAAACAACCAAGACTTACATATTTGCACGTAAAATGTTTGAATGAGTAAAACAATATTTTGGCATGAAATTAATTAAGTATATCCACCTGTCATTACTTCTACGCAACTGCAAGGAATTACAGCTGCCATTGTACAAGCCAAGGGGAATGATTGGGATAGGAATGCTTAACCACACTAGAATTTCCCTCGTAAAACATCCTTGAACAAGGTGAATTTCACTACCAATAATTGCGAATAAAACATAAAATGATTGTGTCAAATTTATTGTTGGTGATATTTACTGTCAATATTGAGAAATACAATCTTGTTCACATTCATTGCAATCGCCAGGAAGTAAATTACAGATTGATCCAAACAAAGCAGTGCTGCCCGATGTGGCCTTTGTCGTATGCCAAGTACTCGTTTCGCTGAGGGTCGCTGTCTATCCAGCAGAGTCCCCTAGCTCTCCATCGGGGTAGCACTACATACGCCTTTGAGCATGTGCTTCTTTCCGCTATCAGTCTATGGCACCAATGAGCACCTCCTCACTCCACTAACATTGGCGTTCTCACTCCCGTACGCCCTCTGCTGCTACCGACCTGCCGCCCTATTCAATTTCGTAGATGCCATTCTTCACTCCCCTCACTTTACAAACCTGCATCTCACTTCTCTGATTTTCCCTTACTTCAAAACCTTGTGACAAATAAGCACATGACCTTGGCCCTGTCTGCTGCTAAGCTTAATATGGGCGCATGGGTATGCCTGGTATCTGACCTCAACTCTTTAATCTAGTTGACCTGACTACTCAATCACACTTCTTGTCTGCTTACTCCATGATTCCTTCTATCGTGGCATGTCTCTTGTTGGGACATTTACAGATTTCAAAACAACTATTTTACTAGGTGTTTTCGCTTGCATTACTTGAGCATGTATGAATGGAACATAAAAATAC